TTTTAACAAATCAGGTGACCACCTACTGAAATGTCAAAAAAAAATAAATAACCTGGAGCAACAAAGCTAACCATTGATGTGTTGGGATTTATTGTTGTTGTGATTTGCCAAAATATGGAGAAGTTTGATCAACAGACAAATCCACTGAATGACTATTTTATAAGAAAACAATATAATCAATGTCATAAATAACGAAAGGATATTACAGTCATTTTCAATTGCTAAAACACACGTTTTTTTTAAAACACTAAACATAATTCACAAAACCACACACCCAAAGTCCAAACACCTCATATACTGCAGAATGAAGCACTGCACTCAAAACTACATAAACACTTACCAAAACTGTTGGTAAACTGTTGAAAGAAAGGCAGGTAATTATTGCAATTATGTGTAATAATCCATTGTTCAATATCATGCGTGTGATGAAAGGCACAGAATCTGTGATTTTATTCATTTGTTTGCACTCAAACTATCATTAAATAATATCCTGCACAGAAACAGAGAGCAGTGTAGTGTTATTTATACTTAATGACTAGATTTTTTAATTCATTTCCCCAGAAATCCGGGCCCAACTGTTTATAGTCCAACAGGAAATTAGGTTTAAGTTTGCAACCAAGTGCTATAATGCTGTAAGTGAGGATGTCATTCATTTAGCATTTTCAGACAAAACAGTGTGTTATAGAGTCTGTCACAATAAATTAATCGGATATCTCTAAGGACTACTGATAAACATATATATATTTTTTTATGTTTGGTCCGCACAACATTTATTTAACGTTAAACTCATGTTTTAAGTCACATTTTTTTGACAATTGTACATCGTCAGGGAGTTTTTCCTATTTATTTGAACCTGATGAAGGATTGTAGTGATTGGACGTCTGTATCTTAAATTATGAAAGAAGCTTTAAAATGTAGCCCTTATCTCCTAGCCCCTCCATCCTGTCCTACTTAAACAAGACAGATTTTTGACGTGAAACTGCTTTATTCAGTGTTTTTAACAGTTTAACTCACAGTAACCCTAACCAGGAGAATCTGACAGAAATGGTGTTGAAGACATCCTCCCCCATGATCCCACACTACTTCACAACGCCACCAAATTATAAATTGTGATTGTTTGGATAAAAAGATCCCTAGTGGCAGAAGATTACATACATTCATTGATATACTTGTAATTTTAAATGATAATAAATTATTGTGATTTACAAGATTAATTTCTTAAAAACTTCAGTACTGGTCCTCACTGATGCAGAAATGGTGGTGATTTCACAGCAAGCAATCAGAGAAGTTAATCATGTATTTTATTGCTATGTGCTCCCCAATACAACAAACAGCATCAGTAGTGTACACTTCAATCTACACAAATACAGAGAAAAGCAAATAGAGCAGAGAGTGACTGACAGTCATGACAATCGTAGGCTAATACTTCAATGCACAGGTAGCACAGGGGCTATCGTTACAGTACATGGAGAATCCTATGCAGTAACTGTCTGAGGCTCAGGGATTGTCAATGTAAAATCTACAACTATTTATCATTACAAGCTCTGCATAACATTAGCAGCAATGTTGTATAGGCAGCAATCGAAAGAACAAGGGGGCAAAATGTCAAATGGTTAGACAATACTGACAACTACAAACAGCATACAAAAGACTTTACTGGTTACTGGTACTACACTATTAATGTTTTATTGGTTCAAATAAAGCATTTGTCTGGTCAGTACATGTTGCTGTGATGTAACAGCTCTGTTAACAACTTCAACAAAACAGCTGTGAAAAGACAGCTTTCTGACAACAAGTAAAACATCTCAAAATTGAGCATGTATATTTACATCTAATTGTTTGCAAAAAACAATGTAATTTCTATTCTATCATGTTTAAAAAAAAAGTTGAAATCCATTGAAATCCATGAAAATGCGGATGAAAAATTGTCATTAGAAGTGATTCAATGGTTTATCTGCTGCAGCTTATTGACCAGCCGGCACTGCACATATTGTAAAAACAAAGCAGAGCCCTTTTACTTTCAATAAATACTTACGTACTGAATGCTATATACATGTACTATACATTGGCACACAGGAGTGAGTGTGAATAGTTGTTCATTTGCTGAAAACACAACTGTGTCTTTGCTATTGCAGTCAGATGCATTGTGGTTGTAAAGAAATCCTTTTTTTTTTTTTTTTTAAATAAATAGCTTCTTCTCTCCTGAACCATTTTTCACCATAAAAAAGCCATTCTGTAAATAAGTTGGGGGAGGGGGGAGGGGGGGGCCATGTTCCACATACAGCAAACATTTTTTTAGCATATTGTGCTTACAATGAGGCTTTGTTCATGCAAACACAACATGTGAAATAAACCTTGTTTTGACTAATTGGTTGTGACGATCTTAAAGCTCCATTAAGCACGTTTTTTTATATTCAATTATATAAAAATTGATCAAATGATTGTGTCATGTGTGTAAAGAGATGAAACAGCTGAGAATGAAGACCTGCAGACCCCACGGTTTATAGAATGATAGTTCTTTAACAACTCCCCCAGATAAAAAAAATATGTGTTTGTTAGCACCAAACGTGAACAATCGGTCAAGAAGCAGATTTCACTTGGGAGTTGGTCGAGACCAAAACAGAGCAAGTACTGAAGAGTGAGTTTTGGATTTGAATTCATCAGAGGCCTGTACTACGAAGCTGGTTCAACCTAACCTGGATATGTTTGAGTTAGCCGGTTGGCCCAATCCAAAACATACGCGCTCTCGCTAAACTGTACTACGACGCTGGTTATCAAGTGGATCGCTCAAGCCAGCCGTGTCCTATCTAGTTAGGTGCGCGTGCAAGGTGAATACAGCTGGTAAAAGAAAAAGCGTTTGAATGCGTACATTAACAGGTTTATGAAATCACTGCCCAGTCTAAGACACGAGTGGATCTGACTTTAATTAGAAGAATTTGACTCGAGTGTTTCATCAACTTAATGTGTTGCTTAAAATAATACTTCTGCATACAGTATGTGACACTGTGAGTGTTGCACGGCCAGATACGGCTCAAGAAGCTGACTCAAATAAGGAAATATATGATACATTATGATGTGATATGATATGAATGATAATGGGACACATCGACGTCTGCACTCACAGTGCCGCGGACTGTACTTAATGTTACTCTGATCCGGTTACTTATGTTGTGGCAGATATTTAAGTAAGCTTTCTTAACGCTAATATTATAATAGTCAGATTGCTCTGAAGATGGGAGGGGATATTCTATTAATTTTCACGTTCACACAGTCAGTTGATTTTGGCCGGCCGTCTTTCCTGCAACGGCAGTTTTTCTGTATTTCCTCTATCCTGTAATATGAATTGATCGCTTTAAACTCCGCACACGGAGCTCTGATTGGTCAGCAGGCGGTGCTTTCACTGAGTTGATCTCTTAGCCTGCCACCTAACCTCCTCCCGAGGAGGTTAGCCGCTCAGCATAAGTTACCATGGAAATCTAGCCTGCTAAAAAGAGAACCAGCGTCGTAGGACCGGAAAGCCCGAGATTTCCCTGAAGTTAGCCGGCTAAGCGAAAATCCAGCTTCGTAGTACAGGCCTCAGGTGAACAAAGATGTTTCAATGTGTTGCTAATCAAGCTAACTCTGCTGGATGTGTAAATATGCTAACTGGTAGTTTGTTTGGGGGGCTTTATGCCCCCTAGTGGTCAAAACACGCTTAATGTAGCTTTAAGGGAATACAAAATCAACAGTTTATGTCACTGGATAAAATAATCCAAAAAAAGCCAAAACCAATTATCAAGTCAAGTTGTGTGTTTGCTTTTCCATTGTCCCATCTTCTCAGTTGCATGGTGTTGTTTTTTTTGCCTCCATTTTCAATCTGTTCTGGCTGAACAAGACACTGCTGTATTGAACATACATTATTGAGAACACGTGTTAAATATGTTCCCTTCTTTGATATGTCTGAGCACAAACTTTCACAAGGAGGGCAAAACAGAGAGTCGAAAAGGGTCTATGGCTAGCAGTAAACAAACTTCTAATTTAGAGAAAAGGTAAAATCCGGGATGGATTGAAACATTTGATATTCTGAGAAATGTAGTTATTTGCTTTCTCACCAAAAAGAAGAGGAGAAGTTCATACCACACTTGTGTCTGCACAGTTAAGATGAACTGGCAGCCAGAAGATGATTAGCTTAGTCTAGCCTAGCAAAGACGAGAAACAAATAGAAAACAGCCTGGCTCAATGTTAACCAAAATCCTTTTCTTTTGTTTTCTACACTTTATCTGATTAATTAAAGGGGACCTATCATGCAAAATGCACTTTTGTACGTCTTTTATACATGAATATGTGTCCCCGGTGTTCCAGGAAACTCACCAAGTGTCAGAAAACACAACCCTCTCTATTTTCCTCCATACCCAAATCTCTAAAAAAGGGGCTGCAACGGATCTGATAAAAACTGATCCAGATTTGAACACTGTCCTGACGTCAGGACAGTGGCGCTACGGCTATTGGGCCAACTCCACCAATCAGGAGGAGACAGCCACGGCCATTGCCGTTCGAAAGCGCTGGAGACGCTGTAGTACATATGCCAGGCCTGTAGATGGTGCTGTTCTCACTGAATCTGCCCTTGCTAAAACAGGGATAAAAAATGTCAAATTGAGCGAAATGAGGCATGGCTAAAATGCATTATCTGTTTGGTATTTTGAAAAAAAAATATGCCTTATATAGGTATGGTCCTACACTATATTATTCAAATATAGCATGATAGGTCCACTTTAAGCAAAGATAGGACATGTCAGAATTGAGCTTTAGAAGTTTTGAAGCAGAACTAGCTGTTTCCCCATGCTTCCATTGGTTACGCTAAGCTAAGATAAGCTAAAATAAGCTAAGCTAAGCTAAGAGTTTTGTTGAACTATTGTCATAGAAACATTCCCCCCAGAGAACTTGGCATTCACATACAGGGTCAAATAGTTGTTTATGTCCTTGTAACACTGTTGCTGTAACATAAATGCTTTTATAATTGATTAAAATGTTTTTTGAAAGTGTTCTCAGCTTCTTAAAATAATACTGATATTTTCATACACAGTATTTACAGCATCCTTTATAAATACCCATTTCAATAGAAACTGTAGAGCCCCATTTAACTGACATTGCTGGATCTATATAAAAAAAAATCTATACAACTTCAACCATTTCCACTGGTTGTGCCACTTTGCATTTGTGGCCATATAAAGACTAGTGTTTAATTTTATAAAATGCAGTGACTTCTCACATACTAGGACATGTGGGTTCTCCGTAAGTCAAGCTTCACACTTACATTTTTTGGCAAGAAATTGGTAGTTTGTAACGTTCAAGTACATTTTCAGCTGCATCAGAATTACCGTTTTACATCTCTGTTTCCATCAACTACAACTTTCAATTACATTACATTACATGTCATTTGTTAGATTAATTAATAGCAAATAAAACCTCCCATCCAAGGTGAGAGATCAGAGATTTGAAATGGTGGCGTTTCATTAGTCGAAACTTGCTGTAATGCAATGTTAATCAAACGAAAAGCATCTGGGGTAAACTTTACGAATAACAAAATGGTGAATGTAACAATTTGCACTCGAGCCGTGTTGTTTTTTTTTGTAACAAGTGCAACATGTATTTCTGTTTTATTCCTGTACTGAGTTGTCTTTCTGCAGTGTGCATACATCTTCACAAATTGAATCAGCTGTAATTATTGCACCTGTTGACATTTTCTCTCTCGCTGTCTGCTGAAGATTTTCTGGAGGCTGCGAGGCTCTGCAGACACAGCCTCCATTTCTCTTAAATGACCAGAGAAAAGAGCAACCAGAGGGGGAATATGGACACCTTTGTCCATACCTTTCACCTGACTTTAAATAAAAGCTTCAATACTCAGATGGGTAAAAGGGTTCAATTGGAATTAAACCACAATTTCTTTGTTATATATACTGTTAGTCTGGAGTAAATTAAATGAATAATAATATATCCTTTGGCTATTTTGTATCCCTGAAATTATTCACTATTAACTACCAACACTTTGTTTCCTTAATCTTTTCACATGGGATGAAATTTCCCTTGCGGCCCCTTTAATTTGAATTAATTGTATTATTTACTCCTCTCAATTAAATGAATGAAATCAAAGAAACTCAATTTAAGTAATAATATACTCTGGGAGCTACCTGGAAGATTATACATTAAAAGTCAATACGAGGGGCATAGAGGAATGGAAATTCTTAACAACAAAGTGAACCAGCACTTTTTCTTTCTTTCTCTGCGTTTCTCTCTGTGGTGTTTTTGGCGTGAGAAGACTCAGGTTGAAGCTGGATAATCTGCAGTACATTATTGAAAGTCCTGACGGGAAAGGGGCGTTTCTTTCATCTCTCCACTTCAGAATACGCTGTAGGCCACCCGCTATCTGTCACGCTGCCCGACCTTTGACCCTGTGTGGAATCAGCCAGGGGAGATGGTGCCATAGCGGGCAGCTTCCTGCCAGTGAGAGCCATGTGTGGTGGTACCCGCCGTGCTGTGGTAGCGATCTTCGACAGGGTTTTCTTAAGTGGGGCAGGGGTGATGGCGTGTTTCACAGCATTGACTGAGGCGCTGGATCCCTTGCCTGGTCCTTGTTTTCCTCGCCGAGTGCCGTTGGCCGCTGCAGAGGCCGTTAATGTCTCCAGCAGCTGGGAGGCTGAGCCGAAGCGGACATGATCCTCCATCTCAGCCGCTTCCGGGAACAGAGCTCCACCGCGTCTGGTGCACGAGTCGCAGCACAGTTTGTTGTAGCCTGGAATAGAGCAGTAGCGTGCTAGGACCTCCATTTGGCAGAAGATGGATTTGTCTCCATTACATGGCTCATCTGAAGGAAGCAAAAAGCAAACAGTGTGGGCACAGAGCACTTCACACAGCCCCGAGAAGCTGTGAGAGATGGCCATGGAAAGAGATCAAACAGGCTGAGAGTAAGTGGGTGCATTACAGGTCACTTATTCATTGTTTTCAACTATCAGAGTCTGACAGATAAGTGTTAATGCCATGACACAACCGTAGAACATTTCATCAACAGTATGATGCTCATTCTAATGAAGTCTGATTCACAGCAGCTGCCTCTCAGATACACACCACCAAGGGCGGACTGGGACTAAAAATCAGCCCGGGAAACTTGACCGACCCGGTATTCCCAATGGCCAGTCCGCCCCTGCACACCACCATACATTAGTCATCAGAATGAGGGTGTGCTCCATTTCAGGTTCAATGTTGGGTGACAAACAGGTGTATTTTTAAGCTTGACATTTTTTTAGGGTTTCGATATGTTCACAGTATTCATACAGCACCAATACCTACTTTATTATATAAAAGGCATACAAATCTTGCTTTCACATATTATGTTACATTGTTTGTTCTTCTAACTGTTGTATCATCTTTTTTTATTTAATTTTGTATTTTAGTAAAGCTTTTTTGACCTTTGCACTGATTAAGGGGTTACACTTAATTAAGCATACAACAAATAAATACCTGATGCTGTTACTTATATGCTTATTGGTTTTGTAAGATATTTCCAGAATCCTCAAAGACTTTTCTAACGGTCTGAATAAAATGAAGACATTTTATCACCTGTAATGATGGCTTATTATCCGCAATCAACTGGTAGGGGATTACTAAAATCATTTATTCTTGTTTGATTTTAAGGGTAATTCAAATGTAAAGCTGACTGAGTTAGAGGCACAAATCGGACACTGCTGTATGAATGCAAAACACAAAAGAAGTAGAGGAGATATTTACCGCATCAAATATTCAATGAAATTAAAAACATTGCCGAAAGAGCTCAGAGAATATCTTGGAGAGCACTTTGAAAAATCAAAAGACTTCATTATTCCCTCAAGGGAGCGTCTGAGGTAAACTTTTTTGCAGACATAAAAACACAAAGATACTCTTACTTTCATTTTGCTGCAAAGGTTTAATACGCAGTGGATGATATTTTGCTTTTTTGTTAGAAAACTGTAAACTATGAAAATGTTTTTAGTGAGCATATTGAAACATCTTCCTGACCTTTTCTCACTCAATCTTCTTTTTAGCTGTCCCCCATTTCATTATATACCTTTATATTTGTGTGGGCATACAAATACTATAGGATACTAAGTAAGGGAGAGGGGGTTTTATCAAAAAATAATCTGAACACAGCACGTTTGAAGGAGCCTGTGTTATTTGTATCTTCATCCCGGTTTACCTTTATCTCTGCTGAAAATCCACTAGGCAATGGATGTTTACAGGAAAGAGTTTTAAAAAGTGATTTTCATAGGTTTGAAAATACGGACATACTCGACTATCGACGAAAGATGCTCTTTTTCAAAAATAAATGCCAGTAAAGGTTGTAGAATAATGATAAAGCAAGACTATGTTATTTTTACTAAACAGTAACCCAAGTTGCACTTAAAGCAAAATGCCATATTTAATTCCATTTTGGGATTCCTGTGTGTGTTTACTCCCTCTATTGTGCTGGACTCCAACATCAACAATTTACCAAGCCGACATAAATGTCCTCACCAGAAGTTGGAAGGAACTAAGTACATTTACTCAAGTACTGTACTTTTACTCCACTACATTTATTTAATCCCTTTAGTTACTTAACAGATTTGGATTAATGATGTGAAATATAATGAACCCTTAATTAAGACTTTAGTCAAACCTGGAGTTAATTCACAAGCTACAGTATACAAAGTCATTAAAACTAGATGCACCTTTACCAGCTTTGAGAACACTTTAATGACCAATAATTATAATAAAAACATATCATTTATATTATTCTGAAATGGGCCAATCTGCATAATGAGTAGTTTACATTTTTTATTTTTTGTGTCTAAGTGTGTTGTGTTTGTGTGGCTAGATGGACATTTGTGTTTGACTGTGTAGGCCCCTAGGACGAATAGCCAATGTTCATGCTAGTGCTATCGGGGATCCTAATATAGAAAAAGACCATTTCAGTCCACTCACTACAAGTATGTACTGTAATAATGACTATTCTGCAAACCAGGCTGTTTTTAAATTGAAGTGTTATGTTCCTTTCTTCCAGGCAGCAGTTTTTCTATTCATATCTAATAGAAATATTTGACTCTTTAAACCTGCTAGAGTTGAGAAATTCAGCAGTTTTGTTATGGCGCATTTCCACCATGGCGCCACTTTTTCACCTCTTTTCTGGCCCGACAAAATTGTGGTTCTATCGGGGCCAACAAACAGGGCTGAGTCGGGCTGAGTATGCTAAACTAGAGAGAGAATCGCTGGCAAGGAGGCTACAACTACAACAAGATGAACATATTTGACCGTGATTTAATTGTAATACACGTTTCAAAATGATGCTGAAGTAACAACATACTGATACCGGTTAGTAAAAACCATGAATTAATGCTTTGTCAAGTCTGCAGACAGACGGCAGGTGAAAAACCTTTTAAAATGCGTGTTGTCTAATGGAGATTGGCTAAGCTAACTCAATATATGCTCCGACCGTCCACACTCACAACAACGGCCTATACAGACATAAATAAAGCAGCGACTGTATTCACCATGACACAGGCAGTCTGTGGTTTGTACTTGTTTAACTTTTGTCGCGTTTCTGAACATATATAAGGAGCTGTGAGCTCTGAGTGCTAACAGCTAACGGCTGTGTTGTTTTTCTGGGGTTCTCATTGAAGATGACGTCACGGCTCCGCCTACACTGCGTTACTATAGTAACTACCCCAGTTCCTAAACTGTAATGGAAGCGCAGCATGAAGTGAGCCGGCCCTGTTAAGGCCCAACGCGGCCAAGCAGTACCGAGCGTGGCCGAGGCCGACCGTGTGGTGGAAATGCGCCATTAGTGTTGTGGGGTGAAGGGCAGACATTTTCAAAACTGTATTTACCACCCGACAATAATGGCACATTAAAATAAATAAATACACACTTAACGTTCATTGACATGAATTGCATTACTTGTTATCGGGTACCAACGGCTGCCTGGAAGGTTGTGACAAAAAATAGCTTTAGGAAGGAAATGACATGTAGATTATTTTTGAGGACTTTTGAGGACTTGCTGGAAGGATTTGTTATTTAAGAACGCAAAAGGTGCAGAAATGTTGAACCATAACATTGAAATAGTGTTGTGGGGGTTTGTCTTGAGTAGGTATTTGTTTTCCTTTAGTTTTTTATGAAAAACATGCTTACCGTGGCAGGGTCCTGGTCTGCAAGTTCTCACATTTTCAGGTCTTTCTCCGTTACATTGATCTCCGATCCGGCAAGAGACCAGACGCCTCTCCAACCCCTCCCCACAGGTCACAGAGCACTGTGGAAGATGGCAAACACACTCAGAGACATTGCAGCAAAAGGACTCCACTTTTGTAGTTGAGGCAGAAGTAAATGTTAGGATAACTGGCTGGGTAACAAGCCCACTCGAAGTTCAATATCCACCTAGAGTACAAACTATATGTGCCGCTGCCCAGCTGAGCCGGCAGAAAATATCAGCATGGACACATTTCCTCTATCCCCCTTTTCAATCTGGTTTTCACAGGTGAATCTGCAGGAAATACAATCTATCACGGTTTCTGTGTCTGGATGGTTTTTCCGAACTTGGCTGAAGAGTTTGTGTAAGAAGCAAGGGGAAGCTCAACTTTACTTTGATTATTTTCCTCTACATTTGACGAAAGATCAAATTGGATTAGAGCCTCTAATTTGTATTGCATTTTTGAGGGATGCACTAATGTCATATTTCTCAGCTTATTCTAATATTTAGAGTTACAATTGCTGTTTTGTCGTTGTTTTTTCTCCTTTGTTGCCAGGAATAAAAATAGTTTAAAAAATATATTAAACTTAGCCATCAATTACACTATCTTTGAATGTGCACCAGCTCTTCAAAAATACTTTTTACAACATTTCTTACAACTCTGCTGTACTATTATCCACTCTGAGGAGATTAGAAGTTCCAACAGACAGTGTTGCGTTGATTTCCTTTGTCCATCATAATCCATTATTACTCATTTTTGGATGATGATAAATACAAAAAGGATTAGCATAAAGTTGGTGACTGCTAATGTTTAAATCAGCTGAAAGATGATCAGGATTCAGGATCATGAGGGATTTGTATCCAACATAAATTATTTTAACATACTTAGTCATGATTTTTGGAGAATAGCAAAAATCCTGTCTTGTAAAACTTGAGCTGCCATACATTTTAGGAGACAGCGTAATGACCAATGAGACATGCCCATTAGTTATCATTATGCCTTAGTGCCACTTCAAGTTGATCTCAAGCAGGCTACACTTACAAGGATTTGTCTTCCAACAATAGAAAAACACTCAAAAAATGTCTTAAAGGAGAGGTGTCATGCTTTTCTGGTTATTACCCGTCCCCTTGTGTGTTATGAAGGTTTTTATGCATGTAAACAGTGTGCAGAGTCAAAACCCTCAAAGTACACCCTGTAGCGAGTAAAACTCTAACACAGAAAATACCTCCCCAAAACGCCTCGTTGGAGATACGTCATTGTCCATTTGATTCTTCCGGGTACGGCATGATGTCAACCCGTACCTGGAACGAAATGGACCAATCCGTGGAGCTGTTACGTTACGTCCGCGGAGCCGTTACGTTAAGCCCCCGCTGATTGGTCCAAATTGACCAATCCACGGACTTCCTCACACACACATCTGTGTGCAGGGAGCAGGCAGCTCAGCTGATTTCTCCTTCCTGGCTGCAGGCTGATAACAGACAGTTGGGATCGCGGCAAAATTCTCTCTGCAGACCCATTCTCACAGCGTTTATCAACCTTTTTCTTACTCAATATCAAGCCACACTTATTGTTTTTACTTCGGATGTGAGTTTGTGTGTGCTCAGGATGAGTTTGGCTGTGTTTCGCTGTGTATCTAAACAAGGAAACAACACCTCCACGGAGCTCAGCGCGATTCACAACGTCCCGACCAATCAGAGCACACTGTGCTCACAGGGAGGGTGGGGGCTGGAGCTATTGGAGCTACAACGAGCCGTTAAAGGCAGAGAGTGAAATTCAGTGAATACACGTAGTTTACAGAGATGCTGTATGAGAAACCAATGTGAGTTTGGAAAAATGCACAGTATAAATCTATTCTAGTATACCTCAACAATGGAATTATGATCAGTGGAAATGGCCATGACACGTCTCCTTTAACAAATATAAATTGTATTTGTAGGAAGTGATGTGTCAACACGCTGTACAAACTAGTTTATTACAAGCACTTTGTGAACTTAATAAGATAACAATATGTTTTTTACTTAATCAAAAAAAGTCACTATCAATCTCCAAAATGAGGAGACAGAATTGTTATATATGCTATTACAAGTATTGTAATATTCACTCATATATCATATATTCATAAGCAGTTTTATAATTTGGGTGACTTGGCAACATTGCCAGAAAATATGCAAACATTTCTTACTGCTGCAGCTTCGCATTAAATGCATTTAACCGGTTAAAGTTGATGTTTTAGGATCTAATCATAGAAATGTAAGGTTTGTCAGTAAGCTTGAAAATGTTTCCCCGCATATTTTAAAACAATAATAGTTTGTCTTGCTACTCGCAGTTTTTGCTGTTGCTATCAGTAATTAGTTGCCAATCAAACATTGAAACGTTAAGAATTACCACTTTAAATAAAGCAGGCATTTAGTACTGTGTAAACCATCAACTGAATCTTAGATCGTTGGAAAGATGAAAGCTTTAGTTTTTTATTAGTAATGTGGCTGTTTTTAGACTGATTTCCTGCTGTGGTCACCAACTGTGGGTGAATCTAAATGTCAGGGACACAATTAGTCTGTTTATTCCTCACAGCTGTAGCCCAAATGAGTCTTTGTGATTATTGACTGATTTCACAAGCATCTAATTGTAACTCATAGATAAATAAAAATACAATTAAACATAATTATAATAATTATATTTACAATACTGCTAGCTCAGTGCATACAGTAATTACATGCATGCATATAAAGAGCTCTCTCCCAATATGGGGACAAACCATGATTTTAAAAAAGAAAAAAAGATCTGAACCCACACAAATCCGCTGCTAGCATGGCATGTTTCCAGATGAGACATTGCTTTAAATTAAATATCATACGCATCATGCTTCATTTTTTAACTTTAGAATGACCTGCCATTATCAGTCAAGCTGCTACTGCATCAACACAAATACACACACAAATGTATTAGTCATTAAAAACAAAATCAATCCGACAGATTGATGATAAATTAGGTAGTAGCTAAATTATACAAGCCCAGACGACAGAATAACAGCGCTCAGCTTCCAGAGATGTGAACGGCTGCCCAAATCAAGCCCTATGCTATAAAGTCATAAGACATTTTCTCCTTTAAAGCTCACCACAATATATTATAGGGCCATATCGATCCAAAACATGTCTCTGAAGTGTTTTGCTCAAAATACCAAACAGATCACCCATTGTAGCCATGCCTCACACGCCTCTATTTCAGCCGTGTTACAAAAGTGCTGATTCTGGGTCAGTAGCTACGGGGCCACGCCCCCCTTTGGAGCGCACATGCAGCAGAGCTGCAGACAGAATCAGATTCCCAGCTAAATGCTGCTGTGATTAAACACCATATCATCTTCCAAACCACATCAAGGATTATTTCTGTAAAAGTATGGAGCTCAAACTCTTTTTCTCTCGCGGGTGAGTACCTTTTTATATCCTGCTTCTTTACACATACTCTCTCCAGTACAGGTTGGGTCTGAGTGTTAGCGATGCTTGCTAATGTAAACACAGACCATATTACTTCCAAAACGTTGCGCATTGTTTCTGCCAGCCCACATTTCCGATATTACGTCATATTGGCAGCAAATCTGGATCAACTCTGTTGTACCCCCGTTTTTAGAGATTTGGGTACGGAGGAAAAGAGAGAGGGTTTTCTTTTCTGACACTTTGTGAGTCTCCTTACACACCGGGGACACATTTATGTATTAAAGACATTAAAAAGTGCCTTTTGCATAATCGGGGACCTTTAAAATAATCATATGTGTGTGAGAAAATACAACCACATCACACCCGTTCTTCATTCCCTCCACTGGCTTCCTGTCTCATTCAGGATCGAATACAAGATCGCACTACTGACCCATCAATGCATCCACTGGAACGCTCCTCCATACCTGAAGGAACTTCTCACATCTCAAACCTCCACACGCAACCTCCGCTCCACAACTAACCATCGGCTTCGCCCCCCCGAGGACCAAACTCCGCACAATGGGGGATCGGGCTTTCTGTGCAGCTGCTCCTCGCCTGTGGAATTCCCTCCCAGACCACCTGAGGACTCCACAGACCACCTGAGGACTCCACAGACCACTGACGCCTTCAAGAAAGGCTTAAAAACCTTTCTTTTAAAAAAAGCTTTTGATTAAACTTTTGTTTATTTTGTTTGTTTTTATTATGCCTCCTGTAGCACCTTGGGATTGCTGTGAGCAATGAAAGGTGCTTTATAAATCGAATTTATTATTATTATTATTATTATTATTATTATTATATGGATACTGCACCTCTGACCAGGCTCCGGTCCTCCACTGGGCCGGACAGGAGACCCTGTTGCAGGGCCTCCGGCTCTCCGGCTTCTCCCCGCTGCAGTACTTGCTGTGGACGGAGCGGTTGGTGCCCTCGTGGAGGAACTGCACACATCGGACCGTCCGGATCTGGAAGCCCAGGCTGCCGCAGGTTTTGGTGCAATGCTCCCATTCCTCTGAGATCCATCTGGATGAATCAAAAAGAGGAGTATACTGAAGTTATACAACAGGTTTCGCTGGTTATAACGTTACCAAAAGGTACGCATTTAGTTAGAAAACAGCAGCAAAATAAATACTCAAATGTAACCGATTAAAGACTGCAAAAAAAAGTCCGTCATTTATAATCCCACTTCAATACTCTGTTAAATGAAAATATCACAAGTTCTCAGTTCTGCGAATGGTGTATCTTTAAACATGACATTATATAACTGCTTTTTATAGAACGGACAAGTCAAATCAAGCAATCTGATTGGTTCTTAGCCGTGAAATAATGAGCGTATACCACGGGTAGAATTGTAGTTACTTTTCACAACAAGTCAGTATCCCTCCGCGTCTGAGAAAAGCTACAACCGTTACAACTGTTACATTACTTCCGTTACGAAACTAACTAACTAACAAAGCTTAAGATGGAAACATGTAAGGGATAATGTGCAGCAAGGACTTATTGACCGCTGTTAAAGGACGCTCACATCTGCAGAAAGAAGTCCGGTCGATTTAACTGTAGCGGAGAAGTAACGGGGCAGAAACCCTCCTTTTTACGCAATGGTCCAGACATAGACATCAAACGGCAAAACATATTCAGTTGCCAGTTACTTTGGCATTAAGACAGGGATATCTAGATACTTTCCAAGGTTTGACAAAATGAATTGTGCTACTTTTAAAGCAAGCAACGATGTTTTCAAATCTGTAATCAAAAAGGTCCGCAAAAACGCTATCGACCAATCAGATTGCTTGATTTGACTTGTCCGTTTTATAAATATATTTACATTTCGTCCGTTACGAAACAAACTTACAAAGCTTAAGATGGAAACATTTAAGGTTAACTTCGACCTCCGGGGTGGCCTTACTATGGAGGAGTGGATTGAGGAGTGCCTATCTCCAGAAAGAAAAGCACCTAAACGACGACATGCAGAGCTACGTGAAGAGCAGGTAGACCAACTGGAAAAGTATCACCATTCAAAAGCTTTCTGATGCGGGTCTTGAAACAAAGCAGAGAAATTATGACCGTTAGTGGCCACAGGTGCGAAAGCTCTCTCCAGAGCTACTGGAAGCCGAATCTCGGGGACCGGAGAAAGTGGAGCAATATTCTCGCCACGCCAAGCAACAGCCTAGAACAACCTCAGCCTATAACCACGTAAGCCATTCTACTGATGCTGGACAGTTTTTCAGTGGGTGCACAATAAACGGCAACATACACATTAATGTAAATAAATAGCCAAATAATGGATCAACGCTCTCTGTCTAATATGTTCGATAGCTGTTAGTGTTGTTGCATAGCAACCACCTCACACTATGTTTCGTGCAGAAGGCAACGGAGGGACTGTTTATTTTGAACATCATTATTTACTAATAAAAACTATTTAAATTAGAGTGTGTATTTTTCTTTCATATTGCCACACTTGGTAACCGTTTTATAAAAGCAATAGCTCACTTCAGGCTGTGGTATATGCTCATTATATCACAGCTAAGGGGCGTGGTTCGGCCCGACGCGAAGCTATTGCTTGAATATACAGTGAGTCAATGGCTCTCGATCGAGGGGTCGGATATGTTAATTTAAGTGTGTTGGAAGGGGATGTACGGGTGAGGAAATAATAAGATTCTGCATCACAACTCTGCACACATATTTACATATGTTTATGTATGTCTATATTTGGAACTTTAATCTTTGCATTTCTGTCACTAATTGTAATTCATAGACATCTGAGAGGTGATAAGGACAGACTTTAGTGTCTTTCATTTCAAATGTTATAAGCCAAAAAAGAGTGATCATTGGTTATTGAAAACATCACGCTGTTGGTTTTACGGGTGACCTTTATACTGCTGATAAACTAGTAAACACAAGTTAAATTAAAAGTGTAAAACTACAAGACTTTTACAGTTTTTCTCGATTGCTAACACACATTTTTTTTTTAATTGCTCAGTTTCTCAGAACACTAAACACAATTCACAAAACCACACACCCAAAGTGCAAAACACCTAATTTCTCCTGCTAAATTAAGAACTGCACTCAAAACTACATAAACACTTTACTACATAAACCAAATGCGAACTTTTGCACACTTCATTCATAATACCACCCAATTTGACCACCCAACTACACACTGCTGAGCATAATCTAAAGCAGTGGTTCTCAACTGGTGGGTCGCGGACCCGTTTCGAGTGGGTAGCAGACAGAGATGGGGTCGTTACTCAAAAAAAGTAATATATTACATATTACTTATTACTTTAAAAAAAAGTAATATATTACTTTACTTCGTTACTCTCTACATAAAGTAGAGACGCGTTACTTTACTCGTTACTTTACTCGTTACTTTACTCGTTACTTTACTCGCAGGGCCGCCCCTCCCTACAGGCAGATCACGCAGACTGCGGAGGGTGCTTCATTTTGCGGAGGGAGCCTCATCTGAAGCGCAAATGCGGCCACCTACAGTGTCGTTACTTTACTCGACATCCTCACTCTGGATTCGGAGGTCCTCCTTAGCTATTAGCTTCACGTTAGCATGTTGTCTTTGCAGGTGCTTGTTGAGGTTTGACGTTGTGTTTGCAGCAGTGGATAAAAGCTTCTGGCCTGGACACATGCAGTTTGCACCTCACCGTCACATTCCTGTCCTTTCTTCGGACGAACTCAAAATAATGGGCAGACCTCCACCCCTCGAAAGTTATCGCTGTTGACTCAGCCATGTTTATGCACTGCATGTGGACGCGCAAGTCGCGCAAATGTTACGTAAATATAAACCTGCGGCGGAAATCCCTCTTGTCTGTCAAAGGGAGAATCTAGTAATTCTGTATGTTAGTAGGCTAACTGTAGTGTGTGATTACTGATTTTATAAAAGTAACAAAGTAACGCGTGTCGGGCAATGTTAGTAACTGTGGTGTGATTACTGAATTATAAAAGTAACGCATTACATTACTCCGTTACCGACAAAAGTAATATTATTACAGTAACGTGTTACACCCAACTCTGGTCGCAGATGTGTGAGTGAAGAATTCTTTTTTGAAAAAAAAGAATTTCTTTTTTTTTTTTTTTGGGAAAAAAGTCAAACTTTTATTTTGAAAGCCCGATTTTCTAACGCTGTGCATGCAGGCGTTGGACTGGAAGTACCGGAGACCATAAACGGTTTTGAAAACTTCACGTAGTGATCATCTTCTCAATAAAACATCTTTGCTGATGTTTTTTCGAGTCTTCTGGCCAATCAGAATCAAGATTGTTGCCGGAAGTCCCCACGGAGAATAACTTTGCGGTAGAACTATTCTTTATACATCCATGGGTACAACTTCAGATACAAATGAACACATAATGAAATATGACCCCCGGTTTGATGATTGACAGGTCACAGAACAATGGGAGCTCTCTACCCTTACCCACAATTTAAAGTAATTCACACAGACTATCTCCTCTTTACTCTTCTCTCTGTGAGGAGCAGCAAGTTCAGCTGTCAGAACTAAGTGACAAACAAACAATGGCATAACATATTATTAATATGTCGGGTAGTAATAGATTTATTTATTTTCTTCTCAGAGTGTACCAGAATGCGTAGTTTATATGTTGTTCTAAAAATCTCCTGGGAGAGAATCCCCCCAGACCCCCTTCTGGGGTTGGGTTTTCAGCATGTGTGCCTTTTTATGTTATACAGTTCAGCTTTGATTCCATCATCTCATTAAACCTTTTTTAAAAGCATACTTCAGTTCTGTGAAGGGATATAAGGGATATATGCACTGTACTTCACTTTAGTCATGTATTTCGAAAAGCGTATATATTACAGCACGATTTTTTGTTGAATAGATTTGAGTGGTTCAAAATTTCGGGTTGCGATTTATTGACAAAGGACAAAGTGGGTCCTGAGGCCTGACCAGTTGAGAACCACTGATCTAAAGCACTTGGTTGATAATATTTCATTTCATTAGAGAGTATTCTTCTTTGTCCACGTCCTCTCCCTCCAGCTCTACCTCTACCTCTCATTCTTCCTCCTCTCACTCTCACCCCACCTCTTCCTCCTCCTCTCACTCTCACCCCACCTCTTCCTCCTCCTCTTGCTTCCATGTTGGCTTCCATTGTTGCTGTAAGAAAGTACTCACCTGTGGTCTTTTTATAGTGCTAACATCCTGATTGATGAGCCAACAATTATGCTATCAGGTGTTTGGTCAGCTGGAACGTGTTTCTTGATCATTGGTCCATGTGTGAGGCATTTTGAATATCAGTGTTTTAAACCAGCTAACACGTGACTTTATGTCAGATTCCTGTGTCTTACGTGGAGAAACGTGTGCAGTGGTTTGCAAAAAGTGCCATGTTGATTTGCAAATTGTGTGAAAAGCTGAAAACGTGTTTAGAGTTTTGGAGATTTGAGCCGATGTTTTGCTCTTTGAGTGGCAGTTAAAATAATTGTGCTTTATGTATAATTTTAGTGTGTTAGCAATCGAGAAAAACTGTAAGGTTGGAAACAGCAGTTTGTAGCTGTCAAATAAAGGCAGAGGAAAAACAATGACAAATTCCCTCTGAACTGTATTGGAATGGAAGTAAAAATAAAGTCATAAAATGTCTTCCCCATATCCAAACATTTTACTTTTTTACACAACTTTAACTTAGCAAATGTTACATATTTCTCTAGCTAACAAACAAATAATAGTTGATCATTCGCAAATGTGGGAGCACTTGCTGCAAATGAGTTATAAATGTTACCCTGTAAACTGAATTTGTTGAAGACGGTTGCCATTTCCCACTCTTTAGAATCTTTCATAATGTACCGAAAATGTTAAAGACAAGACCAGAAACAAGAATCGTGGCTTCTAACTCTGTATTTTCTAAATACAATTTTGCGGCTTTTAATCTTTTACATTCAAAATCTACATATAAGCATCTTACATGAAAGAAGAATACTAACAGAGACATCCGGAAGCATCTCTGTGTGCTTATTTGCTGAGTGTACGTGTTATGAACTGCAGGGATCAATCAGGCATCTGAACGTTGAA